AGAAAGTGTTCTCACGAGTACAGCCCACACTTTACGAAGGGCTCTGTCTATGTAATTTTTTTTTCCAGTGGAAAATGTCATGATGCTATTTTTAACCTTAGGCCCCTGGGCGGGACCCGGAAAGAAATGAGTACACATTAGAAATCAAAGGAAATAAAATAAAGATAATAATAATGAGATTTGGGAGTCAGAAAGAATACAGAGGAAGATTTAAAAAGAAGATTAAGAGATTAATGGGGATTTAAAAAAAAAACTGGTTGATACTCAACGATAATCGCTATCTGGTTAGAACATACAAATACATGAAATAATTACAACTACTAATATTACTACTACAGTGTAACCCGGATATAAGAGACCCGGATATAAGAGACCCGGATATAAGAGAAACCCGGATATAAGAGAGATGTTATCTGGTCCCAAATTAGAGCCTGTGTTAATGTATATAAAATAGACCAAACCCGGATATAAGAGAAACTCGGATATAAGTGACTTCTTCTCCGGTCCCGACAACTCTCTTATATCCGGGTTACACTGTATTAATAATAATCGTAAATATAGAAAAAGGACCTGTCAAACTGTGGGTACGTCTCAATGCTAACTGATCACAGAAGGAACATGGAGGAGAGTGAAGGAGGAGACAGAATTCCGGATACTGGAACTGCGAAGAATTTGGAAGAGGAAGGCTAGAATTGTAGCCGTATTAACTGCTGCACTTGGAACCAAAACACTTGGAATCCGTGAAAGAAACTGTAAAGATCATGGCGTTGTTGTGATCTGGGACGATACAGAGAAATATGTAGGAGATTTGAGTGGACTTTCTATCCCTCAATCTACATCGATAACCATCAGAAAATACGTTTTTGTAAATAATTGTTATCAAAACCTACCTACTTCCTGTTTCATCATATATTGTGCTGAGTGTGTTTGTAGTCTTGTTCTTTTAAGTAAAACCTCTTTTTGAGCCGAGTAAATACTTCTGAACGTGTGTATATGGCCTCTACCTGTTGGCTTAAAATTTTCGTTCAAAATCTATCTTGTTATACACAAGAAAATACGATAGAACTTATAAAAAAAAAGCACATACAAGGCCCAGTAGATGAAAGCGTTGGTTGAAATAATCCAGTGACTTGATCCCCAAAAGTTGTGAGTTCAATGCCTGGCCACAGCAAAGATGGACAAAAACTTGGAGAGAGTTGAGTTACTAAAGAGAAATAACTGAAAAGGCATAGCACGTGGAACTAGAACAATCTACCTCGGTGGATGCAATAAAGTGTTCGGTTCGAAATTTCAACATATATCACCTGAAGAAGGCCGGAAGGTACAACGGCCGAAACGTCGAGAATATGACAATAAAAATTAGGAAAAACAGTCCGATCAATGAAAATCATTCTTATTATAAAACCCAGGTCGTGTATGTGTGTGTGTGTGTGTGTTTATATATTGGATCGGATTTCTTACATTTTTCAACCGATTTCAACAAAATTTCACAGGACTACGTAAAATTATCTTGCGGTGGTTCTGACAGCGCCAAAAATTGGAAAAACACAATTGTTTTTGCACAAAATCAATTTGCAAACACGATTACGAGGCATCGCTAGAGTGAAAGGGGGACAACTCATATTGAGTTATACTTATTATAAAACCCAGGTTGTTTGTGTGTGTCTGTGTTCGTTTATATGTGGGATCGGATTTCTTACATTTTTCAACCGATTTCAACAAAACTTCACTTTTTTTTGGCAGGTAGTGTTTCTTATTGTCTTGCACACTTTTTTCTTTATTTTTACATTCAGTATGCTTTAAAAATTCCACTTACAAGACAATTATTTATAATAAAATTCTATTCAATCGGTAGACTCATAACGATTGAAAACAATGTTTTTGTTTGAGTTTGGGTTTGACCAATTAGTAAAAAAAAAAAAAAGAAAAAACTAATTAAGTCATGCGTGTCCGTCAACCTTAAACAATAATCTTTGTCAATTTTATTTTTCAGTCTTTATGATTGTCGATACTTGATCTATCTCTTACTGTTACATCCCCGGGCAACGCCGGGCTCTACTGCTAGTAGTGTATAAAAAACGTATGTTTGTATGCCACAGAATACATTGGGGGCGTATAAAAAAATGATAAATTTCGAATGAGGAGAAAACTAAAGCAGAATTTATTTTTTAATTAGTTATTAGACAATTATTCGATAACATCTAACCTAGACTTGAAGGGCATTTTCCAGTGCATTAAAATTCGAATTTTAATAAATATATCTTAAACCTTACAAATCTCAGTTATAACTAGTGAGCAGTATCGACAAATTTACGATTGTAAATGTCCAAACCTTTGTTAGCTGCTGGGTCGAGCTGATGAACGGAAATCCATCTAAAGAATTACGTTTAAAGGTGAATTAAGATTTTATGTTAATAATCAATAAGTTACTACGCATCTCTACCAGACATTTTTCTTTCTTTTTTTTTTTTTTTTTTTTATTTATTTTCCCGCTCTTTTTTTTATTTTCCCGCTCTTTTTCGCTTTTCTTTCTATCAATCTTTTTTTTTTTTTTTTTAAGTCAGCGCCACAATTCGTATATCAGACAACAGCGTAGGAGTTAAATGAAAGCAATAAACTATGATGCAAATTTAAAAATATCAAAGATCGCTAAAATTAAAACGCAGATTTAAAGGAACATTATTTAAGATTCATTTGAACTTTATTGAAATACAGTCGATAAAATGTGAATGTTCTTTTCTTCTTTTTTTTTTAGCGAAAAGTGAAGAATGGAGACGAAGAAAGAAAGGCGGTGAGAATTGGCAAGAATAAGAGAGAAAGAGAAAAGATTCGGAAGAAAATGAGAACGAAAAAATAAGGAAGGAAAAGAAAGAAAGAAAGAAAGAAAGAAAGAAAGAAAGAAAAAAAAGAAAAAGAAAGAAAGATGAAAAGAACGACTGGAAAAATAAAATGGCTTCGTGATATAGCGATTTATTAAGTGTACCTTAGATGTGACAAAAGGCCGAAAGTATAGAGCACCCAATGAGAATCACACTCACTATTCAATCGTATTTAGTCTAGCGAGACAAACATTGTTAACTATTACACCACGTTGAAGTACCAAGCATTTTAAGTGTAGCTTAGATGTGGCACAAGGCCGAGTGTATAGAGCACCCATTGATGATCGAACACGCTACTCAGTCGTAGTTGATCTCGCGAGCAAACCACCCTTATTCGTTTCGTATTCCACTGGTGAGATCGAACAGCTTCTTCCTCCAAACAGCTGGTTTTGCGATTCGCCTCCCAAGAGGATACTTCCCCGATCACTACAACCTTAATCTGTTCAAATCTACTGCCAACCGTTATCTTCTCCAAATAGCCCCATAAACTGTGCTTCTTACTCTGGAGCCCTCTACCTCGAGTGGCTCTTGGGCCTTATACAGGGTGATCACTGTAAAAAACATACGTGAAGGATTGAGGAGACGCATACGAATCCACACATGAATAATAAAGAATAATAAAGATAGAGGGAGAGAGATAGAGGGGGGGGAGAGAAGTGGTTTAATATCACTGAAAATGAGGGAAGGATAGAAAAGCAAAAATAGAAAAGAGGAAAGAAGGGAAGGAAGGAGAGAGAATAAATAATAGAAAGGAGAGAGAGAGAGAGAGAGAGAGAGAGTGACATATACTGAAGAGAGAGAGAGAGAGAGAGAGAGAGAAAAAAAGACAGATATCATTGAAAAGAGGGAGGGAGGGAAAGAGACATGTCGGAAATATTGAAAAGGAGGAGAGGAGAGAGAGCGGGTGTCAAATGTCAATGAAAAGGAGGAGGAAGAGAAGCAAAGAGAGAGGAAAAATTTGGTGAAGAGAGAGAGAGAGAGAGAGGAGGGGGGAGGAGAGTGATAAAGAAGAAAGAAAGATGAAAAGAAGTAGAAAAAGTATTACAGAAAGAGGGCGAGAGAAAGAAAAGAAAGATAAATATATAAAAAAAAAGAGTGAAGGAAAGAGAGGGAGGAAATAAGAGGAAGAAAGAAATGCATTATCAATAAAAAGAAGGCGTCAGAACGAGATAAATGTTAATGAATAGTGAGTGGGCGGAGAGAGGTAAGTAGCAATTAAGGGAGGAGAGAGAGGGAGAAAGAGAGGGAGAGAGAAAGAGAGGGAGAGAGAGAAAGAGAGGGAGATAGAGAGAAAGAGAGGGAGAGAGAGAGAAAGAGAGGGAGATAGAGAGAAAGAGAGGGAGAGAGAGAGAAAGAGAGGGAGAGAGAAAGAGTTGAAAAGAGCTTAAAGTAATATTTTGAAAGTAAGTAGGTGACATTCCGAGAAGTAAATTGAAGGTTCTGTGTGTGTGTGTGTGTGTGTGTGTGTGTGTGTGTGTGTGTGAGAGAGAGAGAGAGAGAGAGAGAGAGAGAGGAGAAAGCGAGAGAGGGGAGAAAGCGAGAGAGGGGAGAAAGCGAGAGAGAGAAAGGGCGTGACGTATACAAATATATAGAGAGTAACGTTTTAAGTGAAGCATCACTTTCTATCTATCTATCTATCTATCTATCTATCTATCTATCTATCTATCTATCACAATCTTGGCAGAGTGAGGTAAGTAGCAATTAAGACAGAGGGGGAGTGAGAGAGTGCGGGGCAAATATAATAACATTTGGTTTGATCTGGCTCTTTTAAATAGAGAGTATAGCATTGAGACTCAGATACTCCATCCTCGTGTTCATCCTTCGACCTCCCTATGGTTGTTCAGAACTCTGTTTCCAAACTGTTCGGTCCTGTATTGCTGTCCCCAGATCCCTTGAGTACCGACCTATGGTGTTTGGGAAAGTCAAGACAGTCCGCTGAAATTCAAATTCCAAGTTGGTGTCTGGCGTGAGATAATTCACTTCATGGTTTGGTGGCAGTCTTTAGCCTTGGGTGGCAGTCTTTCTAAAGATGGTGTCTCGATAAAAAAAAACAAACACCCGGATGTAGGGTTGGCGTCCCGAATTTTGTACCACCTACCGAAAGAACTATCATGACGTCATTCAGATACTAACTGGATCGCTACAATGGGAAAAATACAGAAGCAATGGAAAAAAAGCCAGAGAGAGAGAGAGAGAGAGAGAGAGAGAGAGAGAGAGAGAGAGAGAGAGAGAGGGGGAGGGAGGTGATAGAAAAAGACAAAGAGAAGGGAAAAGTGATAAAAGAAGCGTCAAGAGGAAATGAGTAGAAAGAAAAAAGAAAGAAAGAAAGAAAGAATAGGATGCACAAAGAATGGGTAAAAAGAAAGAAAAGTCATACACAAGGTAGGGAAGAAAGAAAGAAAAGTCATACACAAGGTAAGAAAGAAAGAAAGAAACAAAGAAACAAAGAAAGAAAGAAACAAAGAAACAAATAGGATGCACAAAGAATGGGTAAAAAGAAAGAAAAGTCATACACAAGGTAGGCAAGAAAGAAAGAAAGAAAGAAAGAAAGAAAGAAAGAAAGAAAAGATAATGTAAGTAGGAATGTTCGGTGTAAAAAATATGGCGTGAGCTAGCAAACGGGAAAGATGGTAACAACAAGAGAAGACACTAAGAATGAAAGAGTATAAGGTAAGTAGAATTTGAGAAAGAAAATCAAAAACAGAGGCAGAAAAGATAGGGACATATTTGGAAAGAGAGTGCTAACGAGAAAATAAAATATTAAAAAAAATGAACAAACAAAAAAGAAACAACAGAAAAAAGAAAAGAAAGGCCAACAGCGTATTTAATATTTGGTTAACAAACACAACTTCCGTTTGATAAAATAACAACAACAACAACAAAATGGTTGCTTTAAACAAGAAGTCAAGTGATTCAAGCGAGCTGTTACGAGCATCTGACTTCATGGCACAACAAGCACAAGACAAACAACTAATGAAAGAGAAAAACACCGGTAGAAAACAAAACTTAAAAAGTCGCTACACAAAAGCCATCACAGAGAGTTTCTGAATCCACTGTTCATTTCGCCGTTCCGTGTTTTTATGACGTGAGAAAGCCAAGCAAGAAATCACTTAATCTGGTAAATATAAATGAAGTACGTACAAAAAACACTTCCCATCGAAATTCAATGGCGACGAAACGAAAACTTAATAATGAGGTGAATTGCTATTAATGCACAGTATGATATTTCCTTCACTGCAGAAGATAACGATAATACTAAAAAAGAGAGAAAAACGAAGATATATTTATACATGAGACAAAAGAGAGAAGGGGAAAATACAAAAGTCGAAATGTTTGGTGTGGAAAACGCAAATAATGGCGAATAAAGGAAATACTATGAAGTCGAAGATTGAAAGAGAACAGAGATGTTTGGTCTAATCAAGACAGATTTTGTATAGTTGTGTTAAATGCAAATAGATTAGTCATTAGGGAAGAGGTGATCATTGATTGGCTACAAAGGCAGGATAGATAAAATTGTCGAAATGGTAGATATATTGCAAAAAATAGGAAAACTAGGGTGAAGGTTAGGGAGAGGGAAGGTTCCTTTCATTCGAGAATATTGTACGGTATTAAGTGCAAGTTTACGCATTCAGGGCTGGTGTATCCGCTTGTGAGTGCTCCTAAGTGCGATTGAACGATGGTGCGTATGCATAATTCGGGAAGCACACGGGAAATATGCATATCCACGAGTAAAGAAGTGTTTGTTTGTATAAGGGCGTACGCATTGCATGAGATGATCAGTCGAATAGGAGAATATCGGAGTTGCAGCAAAGAATTCATATCTATCTATCTATCTATCTATCTATCTATCTATCTATCTATCTATCTATCTATCTAAATATGACATCAATCTATTTATCTAAATATACTCTTCATCTATCTATCTATCTATCTATCTATCTATCTATCTATCTATCTATCTATCTATCTATCTATTTAAATATGGCATCTATCTTTCTATCTAAATATGACATCAATATATTTATCTAAATATACTCTTTAAACTATCTATCATCTATCTATCTAAATATACTCTTTCTCCCCCCTCTCTCTATCCATGTGTCTACCTGTGTATTTCAATATGCTGTTTATATACCAACCTACCTATATATATATATATATATATATATATATATAGAGAGAGAGAGAGAGAGAGAGAGAGAGAGAGAATGAGAGACTGAGATTACGCGTCGTTATGAGCTTTTCCATTTTGCTAATCAATTCCACACACACCAACGCACACACACACACACACATATATATATATATACACACATATATATATACATACACACACACACACACACACATATATATACATATATATGTATATATGTATGTATGTATGTGTGTGTGTATTTAGCCAGCATATCTTTATTTAAACATGTTTCCTTGAATAATCTGGACATATGTCTTTTTTTTTATTTTTATAATGATACTTTCTAATTTTCTACTAAAGTTTATGATGTTGAGATAGAATTTATAAAGGAAGGCGCCAAAATTTTTTTTTTTTTTTAAATTGTGACATGTTAGTATAATTATGATATTTTAAATTCTATGATCCAACAGCTCATCATGATACCAACTCTTGGCAATTAAAAAAACAAACTACATGCGCCTTCCTTAATGAATTTCATTTCAACACCAAGAAATTGATTAGAGAACTAAAAGGGATCATTATAAAAATAGACATAATGTGTCCAAATTATTCAAAGAAATATCTATCTATCTATCTATCTATCTATCTATCTATCTATCTATCTATCTATCTATCTATCTATCTATTCATTATGTATCTATCGATCTATCTCAATCTATCTATCTATCTATCTATCTATCTATCTATCTATATATATATAAATGTATTTGGGTAGCAATCCTTCTTTTATACAAGTTTCATTGACGACGATTGAAAAAGTACTGCGATTAAGCGTTTTATTACATTTTTCTTGCGTTCGTACAAGTCTTTACTTTTCCTTGACATAAAGAGATCAGAAATTGTCTAAATGTTCTGTAAATCGGGGCACTTTCGCTTAATCCATTAGCCATCATCAAGGTTTTTTTTTTTATTATTTGCTGAATATATAGATATATATCTCTCTATAGGGATGGAAATTCCGAACACGGCCAGCTTGTTATTGCCGTGTTCATTGCTGATAATCGGCAGTTGGATTCTTTTTTTTTATTATTATTATTAATGCTTCTATTATTTTTAACCGTTATATTTTTGCTTGTAAATGGTTGTATTTTCAGTGAGTATGTTACGAGCAGAGGATGGTTGATCTGCGTGTGTCTTTCAATTAGCTCTAATGGAGTTTTGATCCGAGAGTTTTTACACTTACGGATGTCAAGAAAAGAAAATACTTGTACGAATGTAAGAAAAATTTAATAAAACTCTTAATCGAAATGCCTAGCTGTTGTCTTCAATATATTGAGAAAAATTACACCTTTAAGTGCCGAATCTAGATGCATCGTCAGTGTTGTTGCTCCTATGTCACTAGAAGTTTCGGGTCTAAATAAACAATAGACTTCTTCGATGGGCGACCCGACCGAATATGATCAGTATTTGGCCCGCACCTAGAACAAAATTTGCCCCTAGCTTTAGGACGTGAATTGTATAAGTTGCTCCAGCAAACAACAACCAATCAAGTCTACATTTGGGCTATTTGATGAAATATATATATATATATATATATATATATATATATATATTATATTTATTTAAAAATATGATTCTAACTTTTAAATAAATAATTATATTTATGCTCTACTTTTGTATCGAGCACTATTTTTTAAAAATAATAACTAAAATACTAAGGAACTTTGGATTATTTACCTAATCAGTTCCTTCCTATTTTCTATATATTTTCACACACACACACACATATATATATATATATATATATATATATATATTACAATCAATTTTCATATAAAAATAAATTAGTAAAGTTAATGATATAAAATTTTATATCATTAACTTTACTAATTTACTTTTTGTATGAATGATTCATTGTAATATAAATTGAACTGCACTACATATTTGATTTAAAAGAATCGTGCAAATTTTCAGTATAACAACTGAGACATTACTCTATTTATTGAAGTATTTAGTTCATGCCACCATTGACTGAATGATAAACACCCACAAAAAAAAATTCTCAAATTGCCATATTAGTAAAAAACGCACTCACTTAAGTTTTCAAAAAAATTAAATCTTAGGGTTGCGACTGCACGCTCCAAAAGTTTGTATCTGCTATCAATAAACACATGCAAAAAAAAAAAAAACATATTTCGATTCGCATTATATTTTTTTGTCTCGGATGCTACTTGAATTTTACCAAAAACAGAATAATTTCCATGCCTAAAGATGACTGAATGTACAATCGAAAGTACTTACGTATTTAAGAAAGACCTTATACAGCTTACAATTAAAAAAAAAAAATCAAACAAGGATCATAACATTCATCGAGTGATTTGTAGGTTAATGCATCTTTAAAATTTTGTTGGCGAAGGGATTTTGCCATTTTATATCATTAACTTTACTAAATTTACTTTTTGTATGAATGGATCATTGTAATATAAATATATGACCACATATTTATATATATATATATATATATATATATATATATATATATATCATTGCAAACAGATCATATAGACAATCAATTCTCCTATGCAGGTTAAATTAACAAGGAAAAGTACTAGTTTGTGATCGTGAGAATATGAGATGATATTTTCAAACGAGAAATATAATGACAGCTTGGACGAGTTTCTCCGATTGCAGTTCAACTCATGTCTATAAGCAATTAAACTCTAGTACTCAATGAACAAAAAGATAAACATCAATTATCAACACACATATAGATACAATAGATGCACATATATATATATTGAGGAATCGCAGAGCCGAGTTCGAATTCTAGTCGAATCCATTACATTAACTTACGTGCTAATACCCTTGGGAAAGGTATGAATCCTCTTCTTCTCCCTCCAGCTATGGGTAAAATAGCAGGACAGACTGGGTTCTATAGCCTTGGATGGCAACTGGTCTAGGATAAGGACAACTCTGAATACAAAACCTGTGGAGGATCGTTTGGGAACCTTGTGGCATGTTGTGCACCAGGTCTCTGTATTCGTCCCTTCAAAAAGTGTGGATGGTCTTGCACGAAGCCTTCACCACTATAATCAAATCTCATGTGCCGGTGTCGGGCTGTTGGTTTCCTGGAAACTGATCTGCTTGACCCTCATACGTCGAATCTCGACGGGAGAGTCGATTATATATCGGGCGGCATTTAAGCTAGCTCCTGCGGAGGGCTCTTGATTGTGTCTTCATCTTGTTCAGTAGTTTGAGTGTCCCTAAATCTTTACATATTCTCAGCATCGGAAGCTCTTCTGGTTGCCGTTTGATCTGGGTTTTCATTTGCACAAGACTGTCTTTACCTCGCTGCAATCTTGATTGCCCTTTTGATTGCAATCAGGTCCTCTGTTGGCGAAGATTTCTTTTGGCGAGGCATACTGCTGCCGTATGCGATAGGCAACATTAAATTACAGAAAAACTCAAAACTGATCGCTGCATTTAAGTATTGCATTAATATTTAAGTTTATCTTTTAAAAGTTCAACGAAAATTCTTCTGTCGCCACTTAATTTAACGACAATTTGATGTGCGTAGGTCCTTACTTTCCGTAGAAACAATTATTTTTATTTCATGCGTGACTCTCGCTGGATTTCGCAATTAATTTCGATTATTCTCAAATTTATTTCCAAGTCATAAAAAATGTTATGTGTACAAAAAAATTCGCCACAAAAAAAAAAAAAAAAAAAATCACGTTAAAACTTGCTGAAAATAATCGCAGTAATGAAAACTTGGGAATCCCAAATTTCAGGATTGCGGGCCCGGATTCAGCCCGGGGTGTTTCTTTAATTTGCCCACGTGGTCGGCCTGATCCCAAAATGGTATCATATGCTGGGCTACCTTATTTTAGGCGTAAAGTTGAAAAAGTGTGACACACTGACATTCGCAATGATATATATATATATATGACATAATTATAGTTTTTAAATATACTTTATTTAGTAAAAATGCCCAATATCAAGGATAGATTTCTGTCGGAGAAGCGCATATTTTCTACGAAACTTCTCGAACATTTTGACCAGTAAATGTAATTAATACTGTTTAATTTACTTAAATTATATCTATAAATAACGTGTAAACAGAATACATATATGTATATATTGTATATATATATATATATATATATATATATATATATATATATATGTATGTATGTAGTTTATGAAAAACATGTAATCCGTATGGGTAAACCTAAGGGGGATAAAATCCAGAGAGCTCACTCATGTCTTCTCTCTCCCCACTCACTTCCCCACTTCGTTAATTTACATATGTTTAATACGGCCCGTCAAAAATGTGTAAATTTTCTTTTCATTTTTTGTTTGGAAGTAAAGTGATGATCCGCAGTCCTTTTAAAAGGGCTGTGGTGAAATAATTTATTACATGGAACCTTAAAGTGGTCTGTTTTTATTTAAAATATATATATATATAAAAGTCACATTTTATTTTATTTTTCTTGTGTTCGTATAAGTATTTTCTTTTCTGGACATAGGAAGGACTGTCCGAAGGTTTTGTATATCCGAACGCTTTCGGTCATTCTCTTAG